AGAGAAGAAGATCATCTCATATATAAGCGCGGAATGAGCTCACATCCGGCTGCGTTTTTTAAATCTTCGCCGGTAACTGGCAAATGGCAATAAATTCCTAGGACGTGTAAGATTCATACTCCTAAAGGACAGAATTCCGCGCCTTCGAGTGGGTGCTGTGTGGCGCCCTTTTCAAGGAAGTTCGGTGGAGCCCTGTGAAGCTGCATCTTACCAACCCGGACGCCACCATGCCCGCCCACAGACGTTCGGCTGATGCTGATAGCCCGTATCGCTCCATTTGCGAAGTGCAATGGGAAGCGAAGCAATTGATATAAAACGGCTGTAGCGCTGCATGAATATTTGAGTACATATATGCAGCCGTACCTACCGTAGCGGATTATTGGCACGATGCCAACGGGAAACTCGTCCGAAATTGCTTCCTGAGTCGTGAAGAACGAAGGCTTCTTCTGCAGCTTTTGCACCGCTTCACTTCGCTTTCTACCATTTTCCCTCTATATGGTACCCCCTGTGCCATTTTAGACCAAGTGACAACTTATCGTGCCACTTGCCTTCGATGAAACACTTTTTGAGAAGCTGCACGCATACTACTTCCATTCAGCGCAGTGGCTCACTGGATATGATGTTTACCGTCCCAGGAGAGTAGAAGGGTTATTGGCCTGAAAAGGAGTCCGTCCGGTATAAAATACTTCAACATCTCCTCCCTCTCAGGAAAGATTCCCTTATGTCGGAACTTTGCCTCTAGAAATCGCTTAGGTCCCTTATTGTCGTGTTATACCACTTCCAGAAGTGAACCCATAGTGCACATTTCACCATACTGATTGGACAACCTGGCGGGCTCGCTCGCTGCTCTTGTACGCCTTACGGCAGCTTTCTGAGGGTTGTGGGAGGGGTGGAGGCAATAAAGCAAGGAACTTTTGGAAAAGACTAGGGAAAAGCGGTAGGATATTGGAGAAACTAGGAAAGAGCTAGGAAGGATGGGGGTTGAGTATTCGTAGCGGAGGAGGGGGAGAGGAGTTGTACTTTGTAAAATTTTCCGCAAGGACTGGACGAGCCCTGGCACCGAGTCCGGAGAGGGAACCCCTGCAACAGCCTGGATGACGGCAGCCACGGTTCATGGACTGTGAAATCGTGTCATGGTGAGATGTACAGTTAGCGATTCACCTCGTACAATCGGACCGTAGGAAGGGTTCTGGATGGTCGTATAAATGACGGAATATAATTAAGCTGCACGTTCATCTTTGCGACAAGGAGATCATTTACATCCTTATAAAGTTCGGCTATTCTTTCGAATAATGGAATACTATCTGAGTGTTCAGCTGCATAGAAGAATACCAGTACGTTCATCGACTTATTATGCACCACCTAAAACAGAAACCATCACAACAGGGAAGCGAGAACATCAAAAAGTCAAAAGTAATCAGAAAAAAAAGGTAGTTGTGGGAAGGAGCATGCGGCGGAGCGATCATGCTATGTCACGTAGTTGTCTGCACCTTCACCAAGATAGTGCCCGAAATTCACATAAGGTGGTACTAGGCATGTTTCTTGTGGGAAACTGGGACGAAGTAGGAATGTTCCAACAATTTACCCATACTGTCTCTGTGAGGTGGAGGGGTGTAGTGGCAAGTGACTCGCTCAGTCCCGGGTTCCAATTCCGGCGCGTCCAACTACCTCGTGACCGCCCCTTCATCCACAGCAACGAGACTCCAATGCTTCCTCGCTAACTACCGGAAAGTTCCAGGATGGAGGACTCATTCAAATGGTGACATCGGTAAAGAGAGTGTGACTGCCTTTTTGAAAGATATCATGAGCGGCAAGGTAAAACCGTTTCGTGGCATCAGAAGAACTACCTGAAGACTGGGATGCATCACCGCGTTGAAAACAAATTGTGGCCCGAATAATTTCCTCAAAGGTTTGTTGATAAATTGAAACTAAGAATTGATTGGGAGGCAGATCTCAGTCACAGGTAGTTGGGGGAAGGCGCGAGCTAAGGTGCATCAAAGTTGTGGCAAGCCGGAGAATGAACTTCTTCAGGGGTGTCCGGGGTGGGGGAGGAGCCAATTATTATGCGTGAAAAAGCTGGAATGTTTTAGAGGCATGTACACGATTGCTGGAGGTGGGCGGTTGTCGTCAAGTCTTGGTGGAAAGGCTGCGAAAGGGCGTTCAGCCACACCCCACTCAGCCCTTCCACCAATGACGCTTGCAATAACCACCCGCCCCAGCCATCTTGCCCACTGCTTTTAGGTCAGAGTGGTCATGCGACACAATGCAGGCGAGGGAGTGCAGATAAGAGCACAATGTTCTCACAAACTAAAGGATATAATTGAAGTAGTCCTAGTAGTATCCCTGTTGTCACTCCACGTCGCCTCGTTTACCCCTCCCACCGAGAAAAAAGGATAAGTTATGAAGTCTTTGCCGCTGGTCAATCCCTTTGTGGGATGCGGAACGCATACTGCTTCCGTTCAGAATGTAGTGGCTTACTCAAGTGCCATATGGCCTATACATTGACTTGGGGTGTACATGTCAGTCTCTTACCCTTCCAGGTGAATTTGACACCAATTCACCGTCCGGGGGTAGAAGGCTTGGCTTCGTATGGGAGTCGACTCGGGATTGGAACCCGGGACTGAGCGAGTCACTTGCCACTACACCCCTCCACCTCACAGAGACAGTATGGGTAAATTGTTGGAACATTCCTACTTCGTCCCAGTTTCCCACAAGAAACATGCCTAGTACCACCTTATGTGAATTTCGGGCACTATCTTGGTGAAGGTGCAGACAACTACGTGACATAGCATGATCGCTCCGCCGCATGCTCCTTCCCACAACTACCTTTTTTCTGATTACTTTTGACTTTTTGATGTTCTCGCTTCCCTGTTGTGATGGTTTCTGTTTTAGGTGGTGCATAATAAGTCGATGAACGTACTGGTATTCTTCTATGCAGCTGAACACTCAGATAGTATTCCATTATTCGAAAGAATAGCCGAACTTTATAAGGATGTAAATGATCTCCTTGTCGCAAAGATGAACGTGCAGCTTAATTATATTCCGTCATTTATACGACCATCCAGAACCCTTCCTACGGTCCGATTGTACGAGGTGAATCGCTAACTGTACATCTCACCATGACACGATTTCACAGTCCATGAACCGTGGCTGCCGTCATCCAGGCTGTTGCAGGGGTTCCCTCTCCGGACTCGGTGCCAGGGCTCGTCCAGTCCTTGCGGAAAATTTTACAAAGTACAACTCCTCTCCCCCTCCTCCGCTACGAATACTCAACCCCCATCCTTCCTAGCTCTTTCCTAGTTTCTCCAATATCCTACCGCTTTTCCCTAGTCTTTTCCAAAAGTTCCTTGGTTTATTGCCTCCACCCCCCCCAACCCTCAGAAAGCTGCTGTAAGGCGTACAAGAGCAGCAAGCGAGCCCGCCAGGCTGTCCAATCAGTATGGTGAAATGCGCACTATGGGTTCACTTCTGGAAGTGGTATAACACGAGAATAAGGGTCCTAAGCGATTTCTAGAGGCAAAGTTTCGAGATAAAGGAATCTTTCGGGAGAGGGAGGAGATGTTGAGTATTTTGGATTTGGTGCTCACAGGCGGAGGATCAAATACCGGACGGACCCTTTTTAGTCCAATAAGCCTTCTACACTCCTGGGACGGTAAATCACATCGCATCCAGTGAGCCACTACGATCTTGAATGGAAGTATAGGTTGGAAGGAAAGTCTTGTCACTGTTGAGACTTTTTTCTCTTTTTTATTTTCTAACTCAACATACAAGTGGGAATTAGTCAACAATATACTCGTCATGCACCAGTGTAGCCACTATAGTGCTCTACCTAATGGACAGGTGAGCCTTTCCCTCCTCCCAGAACTAAGGAGGCTGCGAGTAGAGTAAGTCAGCGGCCTTTCGACTGATGTCATCAAAGTTGCTGAAAGTTTTCTTAGCTAAGAAAGCCCTAAGGAGGCGGAGGAGGTAGCAAGTCTTAGGGGGCTACGTCAGCAAATATGATAAGCGGGGACTGGTCTCCCAGCCTTGCTCCTCAATTATTTGGTAGGTCTCCATAGCATTTATGGGATCTCGCGTACTACGAAAGAGGTGCCCCGGAGCTAGTCTCGGTCACTTTTCTCCGACAATTTCCACCAGTTTCAGGAGCTGAG